TCAAACACAGATTAAACACTGAGTCAAACACGCTCATTTAAACACTGTGTCTAAAAGCTTTATTTTTAATCCCTTTAAAGTGTTTGTGCTCTTCTATATCAGACTGACTCAATAGTGTCCAATAATTCAGCATTAAATATAACTCTAAACATTCAGAGTCACCAAATCAAAAGTAAAGTTAAAGCAGACCTTCAGTTGAACAGGAAGAAAAGCTGCTGAAAACAGGTTTCTTCAAGAGGTGGTTCAGAGTGTTTTTTAAGGATTGGTTGTGTTCATTTATTTTTATTATTAAAATGCTGACTTTCACTACACAAATGACATTTGACCCTTCACTGTCAGCAAACATTTTAACTCAATATCTTAGTTAATATATATAATGTCACTCGACAAACTATATATCATATATTAACTGTGAAATATGTGAGGTGTCAGAAGCAGACCTTCCAGTTGAACAGGAAGAAAAGCTGCTGAAAAACAAGCTGACGATCCTTAAACAACACTGCATTTAACCCTTTACTGTCAGAGTAACTTATTATAACTTAAATATTAAAACAACAACAACTGCACAATAGTCATGAATTGAGTTATAAACGGAGGTAAAGTTGCTTTATATTTGTACATTTGTTCATTTCAGCTGCTTTAAATACTGGCTCTGAAATGGTGCATAAGAATGACTTAAACACAACATCAGCACTGTTTATTTGACTGTGACTATTGTACTTTGATAGTCGTTGGCTGATAATGTGATTTATTGAGGTAAAGTTGGTCTTATATTCACACATTCAGACTTTCTCCTTAATAATATCACTTCAGAAAATGATTCTGTGCTAATTTGAAATAGTAAAATCATATTATATTATTATATAATGACCATCAATATACAATATTAACAGTCAATTAAACAGTGCTAATGTTATGTTGAAGTCATTTGTACGTGCTATTTCAGAGCCAGTATTTAAAATAGCCTGTCATAAGTTGTCACAGTACCAAAACAAACAATTATAAAAACAATTGTAACTCAGTATATGATTTATCTAGTCAGAATTAGCACAGAATAATATTTCTAAAGTGATATTATTAATGACAAAGTCTAAATGTGCGAATATAAAACCAGTTTTAGCTACTTTTAGCTGAAGATGTTTAGTGAACACACAGATGAACTGAGCTTTAATAAACCGACATGTCTGTTCCTCAGACTCTTCTTTTCTCACTGTAAGCGCCTCTTCTTCAATCTTCTCATCTTCACTCTCCAGTTTAACAGGATCCATCTTTCTTCAGTCGATTCAACAGTTGATTTCTTTCTGATCAGTCCAGTATTTTCTGCGTAACTCTGCAAACACTCTTTCTGGGCCAGGATGGTGGAGTTTTTCATCATAATGCTGAATCAGGAGTTGACTGAGTGGGTGTTTGGGTTCAAGTACAATTGTGTATACGGTATCTGGCTTAAGCAGTTCACTATGTCTCAGACAACCACCGACTCTTATAAGTCCAGGAGACGGGTCAAGCTCAGGAGCTAGGGCTAATAATCTACTGTTGGAAAGTAAGGGTTTGTTACTCTTTAATGCATTAAGTTCAGCTGGAAAGCACATGGCTTGTGCCTGCTTCAGGACTCAGTACTCAGCAGCTGCATGGTCTTGGGCACATACTTCTCGTGTTTATTAGTTCGCTTTAACTGCTCTTGTGCTTCATGTTCGACCAACTGATCAAAGCTGTGGTACTGCGAGAATTCTTGCATTATATCAGACTAGTCTATCGTGGTCAGGCTACAAAAGGTTACCCTACTCTCCTCATCAGTAATGTCTAGGACTGATTTTCTTGTATCTTGAGGACAGGTTCTTGAGTCTTGGCACAGAAATGGAGGTCCCTGCTGCCACTGGCTGGGAACTGAGAGCTGCTGAAGGGTTTTGCAGTGGGTTATGTCGTCTGCTGGATTGTTTTCAGTCAGCTCCTGAATCTCTGCGATTCGTGTACCCACAAACACATTATATCTGCAGGAATCGGACTGGATCCAGGACAAGACTGTCCTTGAGTCACTCCATAAATGAACCTTCTGAATGTTCAGTGTCAGTTCCCTTTCTAGAACTTCTGCTAGTTGAGCTCCACTAAGTGCTGCACAAAGTTCCAGCCTGGGTACAGATAGCTGTTGTTTTGGGAACACTCGTGATCTGGCTGTGACAAATGCAACCTCAGCTTGGCCTTGAAGACTCTGTGTTCTCAAATATGCTGCTGAACCATATGCATGACTTGAAGCATCACAGAATATGTGGATGTCTCCTAAGCAGGACTCAGAATCTAGCTGTGTGCTGGTGTAGCACCGTGGTATGGCAATGTTGTTCAGGTGCTGCAGTTCCTTCTCCCATTCTTGCCAGGCTTGCACAAGTTCCATTGGCAGCAATGGGTCATCCCACCCATGTTTTTTTTTTTTATCCCATAACCTTTGAACCAATGCTTTAGCTAGTGTTGTGTAGGGGATTATGTACTCTGTTGGGTCATACTGACTGGCTAAGACTTGGTAGGTACCTCATTGTGGGTATTTGTGGCTCCCTTGGATGAGTTTTGTAACCAAGTGTGTCTGGCAGAGCTAATGTAGACCCATGGTGGACTCAGAAACATCGCGCTACTTTTCAGAAAGCTAAAGCTCATTTTTCTTAGATCTAGCTTATGTAGGAAGGTGAGCAACAGCAGAAGGGATGCTAGAAACCCACCGCCTTTTTCAGTTGATGTTACACTCTGCAGGTAATTGTCCACATAGAAATGTTTCTCCACAGCTGCACGTGTGTCTTCACCTGGAACAGTATTCTCCTGAACATGTTTGAGGACAGCAAATGTTGTGCAGCATGATCTACATGTTATCTTAAATGGCAGAACTCGCCACTCATAGATGCTGACTGGATTATCACAATGCATGTCTCTCCACAGGAATCTAAGAAGCTGTCTTTCTTCTTCGAGCAGCCAAATCTGATCGAATATGCCTTTAATGTCACTCATGATGGCAACAAAATGCTTTCTAAAGTGAAGCAACACTCCTAACAAGGTGGAAGGAAGAGTGGGCCTATGCAGCAGATACTCATTAAGGTTATGGCTTTAATACAGGAAGGAACAATTGTACACTACCATGTGTTTGCCATCATGGTGCCCATATGGTGTGGTATGTACCAGGATTCGTGTGTTTGCTCGATTGCTTTGAGCGATAATTTGATCACATAACCAGATTGCTCCAGCCTTTCAACTTCTTGGTTGCACACCTTTGCCAGTTCTGGGCTCTTGCTGTACTTGCTCCATGGGGTGATCAAGTGGTCATGATCAGAACCTATTAGCAGCTCTGTCTGGGCCTGAGGAAACGCATAAAGAGGCAGTCCTTAAAGATATTTATATTTCTTTCGCAATAGGGCAACTGGATGTGAATGTTTAGCCAGACCCAAATTTGCTGCAGTGAAGGCACTCTTTATTGTGAATCTTTTGTCTGGCTGATATGCTGGAGAAAGAGTAAAAGATACTCTTGAACCATGAATAAATTGGGTGCCACGTCGAACTGTCCTTAACGAAAGCTTCTCTTCCTGTCTATTAGGCTTAAGTTGTTCTGCTGTATCATGAAGCAAGATGGTACGTTCAGACCCATCGTCCAGAATTGCATAAGCCATCAGTGAATGCTCGCCATTGAGTAACAACATTTTACTGATTTTCAACATGACCTGGCTGCCATTTGCTGGCCGATCAAGGTACAGCATCTGACTTTCCTGAGGCATTTCAACTTGCTTCATCTCAGCTGATTTTGTGTTGAGGTCATGTAGGACAGTTAGGTGTTTGCCTTTACAAATTTTACAGATGCCCTTTAACCTGCAGTGAGCAGCTTGATTTTTTCATCCGTACCTCCAGCATCTCTTATTCATCTTAATCCAGATAGTTTTGATTTCACTGGTTAGCTGTGCAAAATTTAGGCACTGATTAAGACAGTGGTGTTTAGTGTCACAGTAATGACAGTATGATTCTTGCCTGGAGTTTGAATTTCTGAGGGGTTTACCACTGGAGTGTTTGAAGACTGCTCTGCACCATGCAAATGGCTGCTGACTGTAAAGTGGGCTTATGCTGGTATAAGGTATAGCTGTCAATCAGTCCCAAACTACCAATAAATCCCTAAACCTTGTCAACATATTGTATAAACACACTTATTGAATATTATTGGACAGCATCCTATTGAAAATAATAATATAGCAGAGAGATCTGTATGAGGTGCACTCATTTATATATAAATCTCCAATCTTATTTTATAGGTTCAACATTACTCTAAATATTCTTCAGAGACCTCTCAGATTTCATCTTAAATACCTTCTCTTAATCTTCCATCAACACACTCGTGCTCAGAGAATCTGCACAGATATCTTCAGCTCCAGTGCTTTGTGTGTTGTCTTCAGGACACGCCCACAGTCAGTAGAATCTCATGAATATTCATGTCAGTGTCACTCTGTGGAGCCAGTAATATTTGAGGATATACCTGTAGATCACACAGGTGTGTTTTAGTGAAGTGAAAGAGTGAAAGAGCTCAGATTGTGTTCCTGCTGCACAAGAGCGTCTGTACTTCTGCATGTGAGTTTAACACTTCTACATTACGCTGATTTGTGGAGATGATGAAGGGTTTATATGTGTGAGTGTGATTTAAATGTCTGATCCTGAAGATCAAATCCTCAAACACAGATTAAACACTGAGTCAAACACGCTCATTTAAACACTGTGTCTAAAAGCTTTATTTTTAATCCCTTTAAAGTGTTTGTGCTCTTCTATATCAGACTGACTCAATAGTGTCCAATAATTCAGCATTAAATATAACTCTAAACATTCAGAGTCACCAAATCAAAAGTAAAGTTAAAGCAGACCGTCAGTTGAACAGGAAGAAAAGCTGCTGAATAACAAGTTTTTTAAAGATTGTTTTTTTTATGGCTTGGTTTTGTTCATTTATTTATTTTTTTATTAAAATGCTGATGTTTACTAAACAAATTACATTTAACCCTTATCTGTCAGCAGACGTTTTGAGTACTAACTAAATGTGTAGTATGTCACTCGACAATGTATATAACATATATTAAATGTGAAATATATGAGGTGTCAGATCAGGGAACTGCATTCATTTGAAGAAGTGTGTATGTAAAGTGTGCTGTTCTTCATCTCAGTATATTGTCATCTCCAGGTGATGGTCAGCGGCTGATTGTTTCCTGAAAGCTCTGCTAATGTCTGCATTGGTGTTTTAGCTGCAGTATGGCAGAGGAGCGAGTAAAGGACTCTCTCTCAGAGAAACACAGGTATTGACTCTGTTTTTACACCATTATTTCAACACTTTCTCTGAACAACAAACACCAACAACAATGCACTTATTTGTGTTGCTATTGCCTGATCAAATGATGGACAAAGCTTCAGTTTACAGCTTCAGCAAATGTGTTAAGATCATTTTAGATTACAGACAGCCTGATCTGGTGTCATATTTACCAGAGCTAAATATGTGTCATCATGTGTGCTGTTTAAAGTCTTGCACAACATCAGAGTTAAAGCTGAGCGCAGAACAAGTTTCAGCTTGTGCTTTAGTACAAATGTGCATGTTAAACTCAGTGTATAGTTCAGTGAAGAGAATTATAAAATGCTTTTGTGTATTTCTATGACAGAAAGTAATGTTTTGTGTTTTATATTCCTCATCAGATTTCTGTGATGAGTTTTTTCTCAACAGGTCACAACATCACAAGGTTTTAAATTAAAATTATGCAGAATGATAAAGCAGCGTGGGTGACACAGTGGTTAGCACTGTCGCCTCATAGCAAGACGGTCATTGGTTCAAGTCCTAGCTGGGTCAGTTGGCCTTTTTGTGTGAGGTTTGCACGCTCTCCTCGTTTTGGCATGGGTTTCCTCCGGGTGCTTCCCCACAGTCCAAACACACAAGATATAGGGGAATTTGATGAACTAAATTAGCCATAGTGTATGTGTGTGTGTGTGTGTGTGTGTGAATGAGTGTGTGGGTGTTTCCCAGTACTGGGTTGCAGCTAGAAGGGCATCTGCTGCATAAAACATGTTGGAATAGTTGGCGATTCATTCTGCTGTGGCGAACTCTGAATAGAGACTAAGCAAAAGGAAAATAAATGAATGAAAAGAGCAGCGCATCCCTCGTCTGTTTACCCATGATTCCTGTGTAGCAGACCTGATCAGACAGACCTTCAGACAACTAGTTAGTGCTGAATTAAACTGAACAAACTCATATTTGTCTGATAATCTCCTGTAAAGTAGACTGAAGTTTGTCCTGCAGTTTATTCCTCTGGTGTGTTTGTGTGTTCAGGGTGAGATCAGGATCACATGTGTCCAGCTCTGTGTTTCTATTGAATGACCGCTTAAAGTTACATCAAAACATCAGCTCAAAAGATCATCTACCAGACCTCAGGGAGGAAACACCATCATCTGCCAAAAGGTATTTAGTCTTTTACATTATTGATCACACAAAACTGTCAATCACTGTCATTCATAACTCTTCTATGATTAACTATTAGGCAGATTTGAAGGTACAAAAATTTGGATAAGTGGTTAGAGCTCTCACTGTTCACCTCACTGTTGGGAGAGGTTTCCCAAGCCTCCACAGGGTTTTCCCCCATCAAGCTTCACTACAGCAGTTAGCCCTTGGGGTGCTGGATTTCATGAGAGAGGCTTGGAAGGACGAGCCTTCTAACAGTAAAAATGAGCTCTGATACATTCTGGACCTGAGGGCAAAACTCCACGCTCTGGGGCGGCTCTCGTCGGACAATTTGCTCAAAAATTGCCTAGTGGCAAGGTCCGTTCATGGACACTCGAAGAGTGGGAAGCTTGATTTTGATCTGATGAAGGAATACTGGCAAATTCAACTTACACCTCTATCCAAGGAATAAATGATTTTTACTACAGCCTTCGGATTACACCAGTGCGTTACGCTTACATTCGGGTTGTTCGAAGCACCGGCTACGTTTCTGTGTTCAATGGACAAAATCCTTGCCTGACACTCTGCGTTTGCTGCTGCCTACCTCAATGGCATCATCATTTTACTAATCATTTACAGCAGCATTTGCAGCATCTGAGGGCAGGGGCGCCTCCAAGGGGTCCCTCGGTAAACTCTGGCCACCCCTGTGGCCACCCCTTTGGCCACCCCAATATAATTTTGCGGTTGACATTATTGATTTAAATGAACTTATAAATTCCCAATATTTAGATAAATAAATAAATACATAAATAAATAAATAAAATGCAGTCACTAAATTATTGTTGGTGTTACTGACGTAGCTCTCCCCCTCTGGTTCAATGCTGGTGAAAGCAAACTGACGCATGCGCGCGGAAAACCATTCCCGCGCGCCTCACGCACTCCTGTGTGAATCCCGGTTGGTTGTTTGCATGCACGCCGACATAATAGGCACCGCTCATGCGCCGTGAAACCGGAGTAACAGCCTTTTGTGCAGAAGTGTCGGCACGCAGCGAGTTTTGAAAGTCGTTTAAAGTTTATATAATATAATGATGATGATGATGATGATGATGTTACTTTCACTAAGCATGCCTTTAAAGCAGAAAGGAGGGATAATGAGTCAGGGAGGTAAGACTTCATAACATGATTTCTCAGCCATGATCTGGTCTAAGACCACAGATAATTCTATAATACATTTTTTGTATTCTTTAGAATTGTCATAATTAATTTTCATGCAAAAGGTTTCTTAAGTGATGTTGGCATATCACTCCAGTTGTTGTTTTCCAGTAATATTTAGGACTGATTTCTGTTATTTATTTAGAATAATAATTGTATATTAATATTAATTGTATTTATTTAGAATAAATATAAATAAATTGTTATATTTATTGAATAACAAATCTAACAATTCAAGAGAGGTGGGGGTGTATAGGGTGGTTCGCCCAGGGTGTCATTTAAACTAGAACCACCACCACCCTCCCCGATCGTCCTTGACAGCACGCACACACCTTCAATAGACAGCAATGGCTATTTAATATTTACCTTAAGCTACAGTATATCAATAGAAGAAGCTGCATTAATAAAATGGTTCAAAAAGCAATATGGATAAATAATATTATTAGGTATAGTGAGTGTGTATAGTAATGCCTTTTGTTCAGTTTGTTCATTTGTTTGGGTAATTAATAAACTCATTATTCTTTCATTCATTTTCTTTTCGGCTTAGTCCCTTTATTAATCCAGGGTCACCACAGCAGAATGAACCGCCAACTTATCTAGCACATTTTTACACAGCGGATGCCCTTCCAGCTGCAACCCATCACTGGGAATAATAAACTCATTAATCTTCATTAATTTTAGACATGGCATATCTCGTATGATGTACAATAAAGGCACGTAAAAAAAAAAGAAGTCATTTATACAGTATATGAAAAGTGTTTTTAAACTAAACATAGATTTTTATTTGGTTTGCACATGTACTTGCTGATATATTTCAAAGAATGAATTGCAATATTTCAAGTAGAATTAATTAAATGAATAAAACTACATTATTTCATTTACCAGAAACAAAAATATAACATTACACTGAATTCATTATTTTTTTTTTGTGTGCCACCCCAAGATTTGGTGCGGCCTCTTCTGGCCACCCCTAAGAAAATTTTCTGGGGGCGCCACTGTCTGAGGGCGGTCAGGACAGTGCTGAGAAACTCTTGGCTCACGGCCAGCCCGAAAAAGTGTGCAATTGGGCAAGTGGAAGTCAGGTATCTGGTCTTCCACTTGGAACACAGGCAGGTGCGGCCCCAGATTGACAAAACTGCAGCAGTTCCAACCTTTCCGAGACCAAAGACTAGAAATGAGGTGAGACAGTTCTTGGAGCCGGCGGGATATTATGGGCGTTTCATCCCTAACTATTCGGCCCTCATCATCATGTTAACTAATCTCACTAAAAAGGGAGAGCCAGATACTGTACAATGGTCAGAGCGGTGCCAACAGGTGTGTGTGCTGCTTGAGCTGAAAAAAGAAAAATTATTACAATATGTTTGCAATTACCTGCATTGCCGACCCTGCCTTCCTCTTTCAACATATCCCAAACCTCACAGCATAATAAATGATTTGATCTCTATTTTGATCTGAAACTTTACACATTAAAGATTTATCTTACGTCTTGGCAAACACTTTGAGGTTGTGATGCTCCTTTTCTTCTGGTGTGTTTGTGTTGGCAGTGTGAGATCAGGATCATGTGTGTCCAGCTCTGTGTCTCTGAAGAGTGACGTGTCAAAAGGTAAACCACCAGACCTCAGAGAGAAAACACCATCATCTGTCAAAAGGTATTTAGTGTTCTACATTATTGGACACACAAAAACTGTCAATTACTGCCATTCATAACACTTCTATTATTACCTATTAGCAGGGCTTTAGATTAACACCCGCCAAATGCTGGTAGATTTCAGCTTTGGCGGGTTGGACAGACACCTCCTATAGCCACTTTGCCTGGTTGAAAATAATTTTTAAATTGTGCTTTTCTTAAAAGCAGGGTTCGACTATAAGAAAGACCCAATATGCCTGCAAATGTGATCTTGAATAGAGAAACAGCACGACTAACAAAAAAAAAAAAAAAAATTCCATTCGCGCGAACAGAAGAAAGCAGATGAATACCGAATGAGAGGATAATCACTTGCGCTAACAGCTGATGTAATGCGTGCGACTGTTTAAAGCGCGTGCGCACTCCAGTTTCCTTCCATGAAGCACGCGTGCCTGGAACTCAACTATGACCGGATCTCTATCAAATAGTCAGGCAAAAAAGTAATGCTAATGCACACACGGTCTTGCTGCTTTCAAGAGCTCCAAATATGTCTTTTTGTTAGCAGCAGCGGTTGCTTTCGCTTTAAACAGATTATTATTTGGCCTTAACCGTGTGATCATCCTTTCATTATCACATAGTATATTTTTCTCCAGCTTTCTTTTTCTTAAGGTTATTTTTGTTTATTTGGTTTAATTGTCATTTTTTTAGAACAACATTTGTTTTAATATGAGATTAACTCTCCATTTATGTGTAGGTAACTGGTGATCTGAGAGACCTTTAGTGAGGACAGATTACTGTGCATATTTTTGATACATGACAATATTTATTATTTTAAAATGTTTATTTAAAAAATATTTTTTAAAAGTCAATTGTTTTTCTTAGTTTTTTTAAACGTTTTTTTTATATACATAAAAAAGTATAGTATACTGCTATATTTAGCTTGTTTGATGCATTTTAAATTTGTGGCTAAGATATTATTTTTGTTTGGTGTGGTCAGAAATAAATTAGGTAAATCCTTAATTTTGAGTTCTGAAAAGTCATGTGGAATACAAACTAATTTCAGTATAACACTATAAAACCATGACCCATTTGCTCATACACGACACACAAAATGTGAAATGAATCAGGAGGCAGGTGGACAAAACACAAAATCTAAATTAAGTAATTTTATGTTAAAGTCATATTTATGCATTTAAAATATTTTCCCAACAACAAAATTGTGGCTAGTGAAAATGCAGAGTGGCTGGTAATTTTGGTAGAAGAATCCCACAGTGACTGGCAGAGACCGATTGACAGACAGCTCCATCTGGTTCTGTGTGGAATATTGTGAAGTTAATGCTGTGACTAAATTTGATGCGTATTTGATGCTGTGCATTGATGAGTTACTCGATCGGCTAGGTGCTGCTTGCTTTTATCGACACTGGATTTGATGAAGGAATACTGGCAAATTCAACTTACGCCTCTATCCAAGGAAATGCTTTTTACTAATCCTTTGGATTACACCAGTGCATTATGCTTCCTTTCGGGTGGTTTGAAGCACTGGCTCCATTTCAGTGTTTAATGGACAAAATTCTTGCCTGACACTCTGCATTTGCTGCTGCCTACCTCGATGGCATCATCATTTTAGTAATCATTTACAGCGGCATTTGCAGCATATGAGGGCGTCCTGACAACACTGAGACACTCTGGGCTCACGACCAGCCCAAAGAAGTGTGCAATTGTGCAAGTGGAGGTCAGATATCTGGGCTTCCGCTTTGGACAAAGGCAGGTGCAGCCCCAAATTGACAAAACTGCAGCATTTGCAACCCTTTCTGAGACCTAAGACCAAAAGTGAGGTGAGACAGTTGTTGGAGCCGGCGGGATATTATGGGCGTTTCATCCCTAACTATTCGGCCCTCATCAGCATGTTAACTAAACTCACTAAAAAGGGAGAGCCAGATACTGTACAATGGTCAGAGCAGTTCTAACAGGTGTGTGTGCTGCTTGAGCTGAAAAAAAAGAAAAAGAAATAGAAATAAAATGTTGCACTCACCTGCATTGCTGACCCTGCCTTCTTCTTTCAACATATCATAATACCTCACAACTGTCTAATAAATGATTTGATCACTATTTTGATCTGAAACTTTACACACAAAAGAGTTATCTTCTACCTTGTAAAACACCTTGAGGTTGTGACGCTCCTTCTCCTCTGGTGTGTTTGTGTGTTCAGTGTGAGATCAGGATCATGTGTGTCCAGCTCTGTGTCTCTGAAGAGTGACGGGTCAATAGGTCATCCACCAGACCTCAGAGAGGAAACACCATCATCAGTCAAAAGGTATTTTGTGTTTAACATTATTGATCACACTAAACGTCAATCACTGTCATTCATAACACTTCTATTATTAACTATTAGGCAAATTTGAAAGTAAAAAAAAATGGATAAGTGGTTAAAGCCCTCACTGTTCATGGTGGGAGAGGTTCCCCAAGCCTCCATGGGGTTTTCCCCCTTTGAGCTTCCCTACGGCAGACAGCCCCGAGAGGTGCTGGATGTCATGAGAGAGGCTTGGAAGGACGAGCCTTCTAACAGTAAAAAATAGCTCCAATACATTCTGAATCTGCAAGCAAAACCCCACGCTCTGGGCACTAAATTATGACAATTTGCACCAGGAAATAAAGTGCTTGTATTGCTGCCATCATCCAGCTCAAAATCACTTGCCAAGTGGCAAAGACCGTTCGTGATCACTCAATGAGTGAGGGAGCTTGATTTTAAAGTGGTGCAGATAGACAGGGGTGGGGCACGCCACATTTACCATCAAAATTCATTAAAGCTGTGGCAGGATCCAAAGGTGGTGATGCTGGCGACGGTAGTTAGATGGTAGTGATAGCTCACTAACATCGGGTGCCACCAGCAGGAATTCGCAGATGTGTTCATACCCCTGCCCGGACGAACCGAATCTGATTCAGCACCTTATTGAGACCACACCGGGTGTTGTAGTTAGAACACGTCAATACAAGTTGCCTGAACACACACAAAAAAAAGTGGTTTAGGAAAAATTGAAGATGCTGGATATGAGGGTGGTAGAAGAATCCCACAGTGACTGGCAGAGACCGATGGACGGACAGCTCCATCTGGTTCTGTGTGGATTTTTGTAAAGGAAATGCTGTGACTAAATTTGATGCGTATTTGATGCTGTGCATTGATGAGTTACTTGATCAGCTAGGTGCTGCTCGCTTTCATCGACATAGGATTTGATGAAGGAATACTGGCAAATTCAACTTACGCCTCTATCCAAGGAATAAATGATTTTTACTACACCCTTTGGATTACACCAGTGCGTTACACTTCCTTTTGGGTGGTTTGAAGCACCGGCTCCATTTCAGTGTTTAATGGACAAAATTCTTGCTGACACTCTACGTTTTCTGCTGCCTACCTCGATGGAATCATCATTTTAGTAATCATTTACAGCGGCATTTGCAGCATATGAGGGCGTCCTGACAACACTGAGACACTCTGGGCTCACGACCAACCCGAAGAAGTGTGCAATTGGGCAAGTGGAGGTCAGATATCTGGGCTTCCGCTTGGGACACAGGCAGGTGCGGCCCCAAATTGACAAAACTGCAGCATTTGCAACCCTTTCCAAGACCCAAGACCAAGAATGAGGTTAGACAGTTCTTGGAGCTAGCCGGATATTATAATTGTTTCATCCCTAATTATTCGACCCTCATCAGCATGTTAACTAAACTCTCTAAAAAGGGAGAGCCAGATACTGTACAATGGTCAGAGCAGTTCTAACAGGTGTGTGTGCTGCTTGAGCTGAAAAAAAAGAAAAAGAAATAGAAATAAAATGTTTGCACTCACCTACATTGCCGACCCTGCCTTCTTCTTTCAACATATCATAATACCTCACAACTGTCTAATTAAGGGTTTGATCACTATTTTGATCTGAAACTTTACACATTAAAGATTTATCTTACATCTTGAAAAACATCTTGAGGTTGTGACGCTCCTTCTCCTCTGGTGTGTTTGTGTGTTCAGTGTGAGATCAGGATCATGTGTGTCCAGCTCTGTGTCTCTGAAGAGTGATGGGTCAATAGGTCATCCACCAGACCTCAGAGAGGAAACACCATCATCTGCCAGAAGGTATTTTGTGTTCTACATTATTGATCTCACATGGACTGTATTTCAGTATTCATCAGGACATTTTTATTTTACTTTAACAAAACTTTAATGGGCACTTATGATGAAACTTATTTTTTGTTTGCACAGAACTGTGTGTGGGTTTAGTGTGTCCATGTTATTATTCCTGATGTTAAACTAGGATCCAAATCTCTCCTCTTTTGAGACCCACCACAACGTGATGTAGGAGTGCGGTTTCCCTGCCGACCAAATTGATCGACAGCCGTGTATTAACATGTCTCCTTAGTAACGCATATAATCATATCAACAAGACAAAGCAACTGGGATAAAAGGATCTGTTCAGCTCTCTGTGATCATCAATCTTCATCACATGTGATCCAGAATGAGTTTTACAGGTTTAAAACATTTCTAAAACAGTGCATTTTAGTAATAAAGTAAGTTAAAGACGGTAAAATAACTCTATTTACTTCACCACAGCCGCATGTCAGTACAATTATAAAAGAATATGCTTCAATACAGGTTTGTGGATGTTAATTATTTTTTTTTTGTACATTAACATAAAATATATCCATATAGCAGCGGATATTAAACTGTATCCTGTCACATTTACAGGACAAAAAACAGTACAAAGTTAAATGCACTGTGCGTGCGTGTGTGTGTCTGTGTGTGGGTGAACTTTGTAACAACAATGTGTGTGACTCATCGTAGCAGAAAGGCTTGAATTAACTTAAACCCAAATGTATCAAATAATCATTGGGAAAGTTCTTGCTGTAGTGTTTCTCACAAACATTACGTAAAATCTGCTTCCTTCATGTCTGTCTGTGTGCTGTTTATCTGACGCAGCCGATGCGGAGACTGAGGCACACACTGACAGGCACGTGGGAATGGTGGGCGGGGAGAACTAGCTAATTATGCATAAAGGCACAGGCCACAGATATAGCTACAGTGTGTTCAGAGCTGAAAATTCTTTTATTCTGAATGATCTAATAAATAATCTGATGGGTGTTTTGTGCTGAAACTTAACTAACACATTCTGGAGGCACAAAAGTTTTTGAAAAAGAGGTAAAATAGGTGCCCTTTAAAGGCACAATGCGTAAGATTATTTCCATTAAAATGTCCAGAAAACACTAAAATCGTGTCATATAAATCTTCTGACTTGGATTTGTTTAGAATGTATTCAGCAATTGTCCTGATAAGGACAGATATCTGACTATTAAATGTTCCCTTACTGTTTGTGACTTTAAAAATTGCATCTGAAGAACTCTGGAAGTATAATGTCCTCTTTGTAACAGTGAGTTTGAAATTAAGAGACAGAATATCCATCTGCTGAATCTAATAAAGAAAAATACAAATGTCAATGTGAAGATCAGAGCGAAAACAAAACAATCCAAGAAACAGAGAGACAGAGATGCAAACACAACAGGGCACATTTATAAATCCAACACTGAAACAAGGGCAGATCTGGACACAAAAATCAACTTATCAAATCAACAAGGTTCATGTGCGATTTATGAAACATTCATATGCAGACAGTCCCATCACACAGATGATCTTTATATGTTGATATAAAGTGTCGACTGAAAACAGTCATGATTTGAACATCAAGCCCTTAAATATTTATGTTTTAGTTGCCTTTAACTTCTCACAGAGAGAGAGAGAGAGAGAGAGAGAGAGAGAGAGAGCACAGATCAGTAATGTGAAAGTGAAAGTAATTAACACATCAGCTTCAGCTTAGAAGTTTAGACAAACCAACAGTAGCGGTAATGTGAAAATAATGAGCTCATAACCTTCTTAAAAATCATAAAGAAATCTTACCACGAAAATTTGGCCACCTTAGGATTTTATGCAGTATATACATAAATCTTCGATATTAAACTTATCAAATGTTCCATGTTTAGAAACATGTGTAAACCACTTCCCATGTAAACCTGAATATTGAATTAAATGAAAAACTTTCATTGCAGGAGACACATGAGTGAGAGCAGGAGGCTGGGATTCACATATTCAGAAGAGTATTGAGCTATAAGGCATAACCATGGGGTGTACTTATTGATTCCTTGTGTTGTAGTTGTTCCTGCAGTGTGGATGGAGATGATCAGACTGGAGACCTGCAGCAGGATTCACTCCAACCAGAACATGATGAACTTCAGAGAGTCAAAGAGCAGCACAAAACCAGCATGAAGAACAAGTATGAGAGATTATTTGAGGGAATCAACCATGGAGAGACTCAAACCCTCCTGAACAGCATCTACACACAGCTCTACATCATAGAAGGAGAGAGTGAAGGAGTGAATGAAGAACATGAGGTTTTACAGATGGAGAAAAGAGCCAGAACAAAACCCTCACAACACACTCCAGTCTACTGCAATGACATCTTTAAAGCCTCAGCTGGAGCAGGACATGAGGAGAAGATCAAGAAGGAGAAAGCCCAGATCAAGACTGTTCTCACTAAAGGCATCGCTGGAATCGGGAAAACCGTCTCTGTGCAGAAGTTCATTCTGGACTGGGCCGAGGGAAAAGACCATCAGGATGTAGATTTCATGTTTGTGCTTCCATTTCGAGAGCTGAACTTGATCAGAGATCATCAGTACAGTCTTCACAGACTTCTGCTGGACTTTCATCCTGAACTTGAAGATCTGGAGCCCAAGATTTATGAGCAGTGTAGAGTTGTGTTCATCTTTGATGGTCTGGATGAAAGCAGAATCACACTCAACTTTTCAGATGAGGAGAAAGTTTGTGCTGTGACTGAATCTTCATCAGTGGCTGTGTTGATGCGGAGCCTCCTGAAAGGAGATCTGCTTCCCTCTGCTCTCATCTGGATCACCTCCAGACCAGCAGCAGCCCATCAGATCCCCTCCAGATACATCCACCGTCTGACAGAGATTCAGGGATTCACTGAGCCTCAGAAGGAGGAATATTTCAGGAAGAGAATCAGCGACGAGCATCAAGCCGGCAGAATCATCTCCCATATCAGAAGAGCAAGAAGCCTCCAGATCATGTGCCACATACCCGTCTTCTGCTGGATCTCCTCCACTGTGCTTCAGAAGCTCCTGGAAGAAGATGTGAGTGCAGAAATCCCTCAAACTCTGACTGAGATGTACATCCACTTCCTGCTGATTCAGATCAACATGAGGAAGCAGAAGTATGAAGAGAGAGATCCAGAGAAACTCCTGCAGTCCAACAGAGGAGTGATCCTCAAACTTGCTGAAGTGGCTTTCAGACAGCTGATGAAGGGCAATGTGATGTTCTATGAGGAGGACCTGATTGAGAGCGGCATAGACGTCACTGACGCCTCGGTGTATTCTGGGATCTGCACTGAGATCTTCAAGGAGGAATCTGTGATTCATCAGAGGAAAGTCTACAGCTTCATCCATCTCAGCTTTCAGGAGTTTCTGGCTGCTTTCTTTGTGTTTTACTGCCATTTAACAAAGAAGAGGAAACTACTGAAGGTGTTTTTACAATATTCATATGATCAATATCTACAGTCCAGCTCTGAGAAGTCTCTGTATGATCTGCTCAGTTCAGCAGTAGTTAAAGCTGTCAGGAGTAGTAATGGTCATCTGGATCTGTTCCTGCGGTTCCTGCTGGGCGTCTCACTGGAGTCCAATCAGAGACTCTTCCAGGATCTGCTGACACACACAGAGGAGAGTTCAGAGAACATCAGGAGAATCACACAGTTCATTAAAGACATGATCAAGAGAGATAAACATCTCTCAGGTAAAAGACCCATCAGACGGTTCCAGAAGAAGACAGATGACCCTCTCTCAGCTGAAAGATCCATCAATCTGTTCCTCTGTCTGCTGGAGGTGAAAGATCAGACTCTGGCCAGAGAGATTCAGGAGTTTGTGAAATCAGACAAACACTCAGAGGAGAAACTCTCTCCTGCTCACTGCTCAACAATCTCCTACATGATTGAGATGTCAGAGGAGCCGCTGGATGAGTTAGACTTTAATAAATTCAACACATCAGATGAGGGAAGACGGAGACTGACAGCAGCTGTGAGAAACTGCAGAAGAGCTCTGTGAGTATTCATTGATTGATCACAGAAGACACACATCAGTCTGCACTGAAGACTCAGATCAGTTTAGTGAATCACTGCCCTGCTTTAACAGAAAATCTTTAGCTGGCCATATCGTCCCCCTGTGAGATCGCTGATACACCATATTACTGCATGGGGACGCGGCGGCAGTGTTCTGTTTCCTTATTTGCTCATTTATTTCAGCATTTCTAAACGTATTTAACAAACTTTTCTTGACTTTTTACTCACACAAACAACATTTGTACTTATTTAATAATCTACTTCATTTGCTTTACAGTTTATCCTGGAAAATAACTCAAATCCCTGTAAATCCCTGTGCTCCTGCAGCTGAATAGGACATTTGTTGATGTGTATTTGCTCAAATCTAACACAGTGTTGCTCTTGGATAATTGTGTGTGTTTTCTGATCAGAGAAATAGTGTAATTTTAGACACAGTATTGCCGTCTCGCCGCAGACATGCCTCTAATATTACATTTACTGTAGGCCTAAACACTAAACTTTACACTGAGCTCAGTAAAATGCTCTCTGATTAGTTATTAATAATCTGTTCAATAATTCAGTACAGTCATATGAATGGGGAAATACATCTTTAGTTTAGTTTAATGTACTTTCAATAAATAAATAAATAAATAAAAAGAAGATGTGTTTAAATAAAATAATATTCTTGTTCCTCCTAATGCAAGACAATGCTGGACCTCATGTGTCTGGAGTGTGTCAGCAATTCCTGCAGTTCACTACAGCTTTGAGTGTGACTCCTAATCCAGTCCTCCATGGGTTAATACATTTGATTTCCAGTGATCATGTCTGTGTGATTTTGTTGTCAGCACATTCAACTGTGTAAAGAACAAAGTATTTAATAAGAATATTTCAGTCATTCAGATCTAGGATGTGTTATTTTAGTGTTCTCTTTATTGTTTGAGCAGTATATATATATAGTTTATTTCCAGTGTTGCTTTTATCACTGTAGACTGAACTCATGAACACTCAACACTGCTCATTTCTCACTGATGATTGTGTTGCTGTTTGTCCTCTACACAGACTACAGCGCTGTGAACTCACTGTTGAGTGCTGTGAGAGTTTGTCTTCAGCTCTACAATCCTCAAACTGTGTGCTGAGAGAGCTGGACCTGAGTAACAATGACCTGCAGGATTCAGGAGTGAAGCTTCTCTCTGATGGACTGAAGAGTCAACACTGTAAACTGGACACACTGAGGTAAATGATTCTCCACTCTACAGATACAGTTTCATATTGGGTTACCTGATGTGGAGCTCCATTCAGTGGATTGACAGAAGAAACAAAACATTTACAGGGTTGTGATTTTAATCATAGCTTTAATAATGTATGTTCATTTATAAATATATTTAAAAGCTTTACGTAGTCTATTATGAAATGTTGCACTTTCAGAGCTTCTCTTTTTCCAATATACCCAAATGTGACTTAAAGTTAAAGGAATCAGTTTATTTTAAGGATCTTTATAATGAATTACCTCTGAATTATTTATTCATATTTTATATTTTTATATTTAGATCTGTTGTGTCCTGGTGAAGTTTAGACATGCTCTGCTGTTTGTTCAGTTTGCAGTTTCTTCTAAACATATAAAAGTCTCACGACACTCTTAATATTATCTAAACCAGTGCTCCACAACCTTTTTCTAACTGCGGACCGGTCAACGTGAATCCACTGTGTACTCATATGGAACTTTATTAGCACATTGCTCCAACATTACAATGCTATTATAACATTAGGAAGTAATAACTTTATTAACACATTGCTCCAACAATATAACATATTATAACATCAGTAACGCTAAATCAATGGGAGCCCTGAGCTTGTTTCTTTGCAACGAGATGGTCCATAGAAGGAAGATTGCTGGAAAGAGCGCGTGCACGTCTAGAACGTGCTGACGAGAGACGTCTGCTTTAGCCAATCAGAACAGTAGACGTATTCACGTCCGCGCGGTTTATGAGAATTAAAGCCTTTGAATATTTTTCCAGACACATTTAGCTGCTAGAAATTAGTCACATAACGTTTATATGTTCCCTTTAATGCCAACCGTATAAATAATTATCGATAAGATGCTTATGATAAGCCGTTATTTGTTTACCTTCAAGCTTTGCATGTGCCTGTGAAACAGCCCGTGGGCGCCAGCACACACACATACAGTATCATGTACATCTCGACATGCGAAAGTGTTTCTCAAACTCCTTTAACAGTGAAGACTGGTGATCGTGCAGCAGCTTGGTGAGTGAGGGCGCAGGCTCAGTCTCACACAAAATCCACGCTAATGTTTGAAACACGTCCAATATGCCTCTGTTCACACGCCGTCCCCACAAATCCAGTTTAAATGCAGCTTCTTTATCTGCCAACTTAAAGATAATTCATTCTTGTTCAGCCCCGTACTGATTGATCCACGCACCAGCACCCGCCTGGGGGTTGAAGACCACTGATCTAAACCACTACAATAATATGAAGACACACTATAAGCCTGTATTCAGCAGTTTACTGTAAGAGACCTGGTGAACTGATGTATTTACTACACATGCATCTGAAAATAACCCTGATTACTCATTCACATGAAGCAATATATTGACTGAAGATCTTCTGTCAGAAAGGCTGTGTGTGAAGGAGAGTCAGCGCTCATGATTATTGATCAGGTGTTTCTCAGCTGACAGAATAAAAGTCCCCTAATGCTCCATCAGTGTGAATGTGACTGTCAGGCTGGTGAAAGAGACATTAAGAGAGCGGCTTTGTGTTTGTTTTAGTTTATTTACATCATCGTCCACAATATAATATACAAATGAAGATCAGGTCATGTTCTGTTGCTCTTTATACAGTAAAGTTTGATCTACAAGCTGAAGTTGGTGACTGTCAGGGCTGTAGTACTCGAGTCCAGACTCAAGACGTTTCTTTCTATAGTCTAGGACTCTCTAATATTCAGACATGAACTTGGTCCAGCAATAGTCATTGGTTGAGTGTGTTTGTCTGAAAACAGGAAACATCACTGTTAAATCCACTGTGAGTCTAGAATGGGCACTGACACTCTCGTGTGATACGCTTCCCTGCTGAAAAATCCAGTTTGAACCAGCCTAGGCTGGTTGGCTGTTTTTAGCTGTTTGACCAGGCTGGTTTTAGAGGGGTTTTGGCCATTTCCAGGCTGGTTTAAGCTGGACATAGCTGGTTTTGGCTGGGCTCCCGGCCTGCCTAGGCTGGTTAAGCTAGTTTTAGCTGGATTTAGCTGGTCATTTTCCTGCCTGACCAGCTAAGACCAGGCTGGAAATGGCTGGAAACCAATCTGGAAATGGCCAAAAACCCTCTAAAACCAGCCTGGTCAAACAGCTAAGACCAGCCAAGGCTGGTTCAAGCTGGATTTTTCAGTAGGGTTGTCTGTCAATATGAGTGCCCTGGTCACTCAGACACATGTGGGACACCGCTCTGTTTCTTAAGACTCCTGGCGGCTAAAGCTAAACTAATAGAGCTGATGTTTAGCTGAGAGCTAGCTAACGTTAACTGCTAGTGTGTTCCATCCTAAACATAAGAGTTAGCATTCGCACTGGTTAGAAAGCAGTGAAGGTGATATAATATAATGTATGTCTGATATCTGCACATTTAGGGAGCATCTTTAAAGTCTGGACACCTGATTAGGGCTGGGCGATGTGGATTTGAGTAGATCAGGTTAGATTAGATTAGATAATCCACATTATTGAGGAAAGATAATCTAGTGAAGTGATCAAGTAAATGTCGGCCCAGTCTGTAAGTGTAGATGGTCTAGTAATAACACGACACTTCCCTTTAGATTGTAGAAGAATGCATATGCTAAAGCTTTATTTCATGTGTCAGTCGCTCCATCTCACCCACAGGAACAGGCTGACAGACATCTAGAATGACTTTAACACACAAATCAAGCAAACAAAGCTCCAGACATGTGAAGGAGAGATCGGGCCTTTTGCTCATGAGTATAATCTGAGGTTTAGACCCCCTCACACGCTTTGGAGAGGAATGTGTGAGTGAAAGAGAAAGCGGATGGCCAATCATGAGCTGCGGCCTCAACACATTACACACATATTAGTCTGAGCACTGGCTAGACAGTATCTATAGGCTGTATCATATTTGCTTGTCCACAGTTTTACTAGTTAATAAATGCGTCTTGATGATGCTGTGATGTAGGGCTGGACGAGAGTGTGAAGCTGCATTGAGTTTGTGCTGGCCATCCTCCAAGATAAGCAGCTCAGCATCTGTCTGTTGCTCTGTCCCGCCTGGGTGTTTTGGTCATTCAGAGGAGTTCACCAGCGCTTCTGTCTTCTCCAGTTATTCCTCTTCAGAGATCGTGTGTGTGTGTGTGTGTGTGTGTGTGTGTGTGTGTGTGTGTGTGTGTGTGTGCGTGTGTGTGGACATGTCTCATGACAGATGTGAGGGGAGAGACGAGATTATCAGACATCAGGATATCTTTAAAGGCGATTATTAATAAATATTGTCTGACATCTCCCAGTGTAGCAGCCCTTCAGCTTTCAATAAATAGGCAGAGAGTTTTGACGGGGGCATTTAAAATAGTTTATTTGGATGCAATAAAGTTCATCACATAAATCATCATTTTCTCAGTTCTTTGTTGTAAACACCAAAGCATCAAAAGACCAAAAGCACCGTAAAACTAGAGAAAACAAACGAACAACATAGAAAAATAAACAACAAACATTTACAAAACATCTAACATTTTCCAAATAAATCAAACAATAAACAAAACATCCCTCGCTCTGCTTGCCGAAGGGACACTAAAAGCTCAAGACATTCTTCCGAGCTGTACCTGTTAGCTCGTGAACAAACGTGAATTGCTCTTACTCTGCTTTGTCTCACTTGAATCCTATTAGTCTAGAGCGCCCTCCTGTGGTGACTTCAATTATATATAATAACACGTGTAACATGTGTCATGCTCTGTACACTTCTACAGGTGATGTCGAGTCCTTGTTGAGTGTGTGTGTGTGTGTGTGTGTTTGCTGATGCGAGGGCTCAATCAATAAGGAGAGCTGATCAGGATGTGTGTGTTCATCACTGCTGTTGACATGAGCAGAAACAGCAGTCAGCATCTTCACAACACAAAGAGATGTGTGATTGTCCAACTGTGTGATGTGGACTATTGCTGTGTTTGTAGATTGTCTGGCTGTATGGTGACAGAGGAAGGCTGTGGTTTTCTGTCTTCAGCTCTGACTTCAAACCCCTCACACCTGAGAGAGCTGGATCTGAGCTACAATCATCCAGGAGATTCAGGAGTCAAGCTGCTCTCTGAACAACTGGAGGATCCAAACTACACACTGGACAAACTCAAGTATGTGGAGCAGCACTGGCCTTGTGCTTTTACACTGAATGGCTTTAAAAAGACACTAGAAAGCTCTTTTGTGATCAGCTTCAGTTTTCTGTGAGGGTTATGGGGTGAGGACAGACAGAAGATACAGCTTGTAGAGTATTCCAGTCATGTCTATGAAGAGCAAATCATTGAGTGTGAAATGAATCTCCTCTGTAAATGTTGGAGTGTATTGGCTCAGTTACAGTGACATTAAGCGGGACACACTGTACAGTTTCAGCATTTGAGCTGAGCAGAGAAACTTCTTCCTCCATTTCTGCTGAAGAATCCTACAATATCAGGTCAGGAATAGGGTTGGGGATTGAAGATGGATTCAGATTCTGGAATCAGACACTTGGATTAATGTTCAGACTCTTGTTCTAAAATCAACATCTGGATTCCTCTTCTCTGTGCACACATGTGTATTTTTCACTTGCTAATCTGTCAGGAACTTGGGCGCTGGCGAGCAGCTTTAATAATCTGAACATAGTTTAGAGATGGACTGCAACATGTGCTCAAAGGCTGCATGTGCTGAAGAACGATGGCAAAGCTAAGTGTGATCACTGTAATAAATGAATGTTGCAGCAGGGTGTCTCCATCAACATGAGCAGTATCTGCGCTCGCTTCACCAACAGCAGAGGAAAAGAACGCACTGTGTTACATTCATTGTGCATCCCGGCTCAACCAACAAGTGTTGTGTGTTTTAGCTCAAGAGTTTGGAGCGTGTAGCTGAGCGGCTCAGTGCTAGCTTTAGCTTATTAGCTGAGGGGGAAACTAAACAGCTCATTCTCTCCATCTGTGTGTGTTTACAGTCTGGATCATGGAGGACACACGAGGATTACAGCAGGACCACGCAAATGTAGGACTACACACACACACACACACACACACACACACACATCACACATGCATACATACTCTCTCACACACATGCACACACACACACACACACATGCACACACACTCACACAAACACACACTCATTCTCGCACACACACACACACACACACACACACAAACAGACACTCACACATGGGCACACACAGTCTCTCTCTCACACACTTGCACACACACACACACACACTCTCTCTCTCTCACACACACACATACACAAACTCACTTACACACACACACACTTTCTCTCTCTCTCACACACACACACACACATACACAAACTCACTTACACACACACACGCACACAAGCAGACACTCACACATGGGCACACACAGTCTCTCTCTCTCACACACACACACACACACGCACACTCTCCCTCTCTCTGTCTCGCACACACACAAACATACTCTCACACACACACGCACATACACACACACCTCACACACACCCACACACACACACGCTCTCTCTCCGTCACACACACACAGCTGTGGTTGTAAATGTGTGTGTTCTTGTGTTCAGATGTCTGTTTCCTCACTCTGGATCCAAACACAGCAAACACTCGACTCATTCTGTCTGAGGAGAACAGAGAGGTGAAGAGTGTGAGAGAGAATCAGCCGTATCCTGATCATCCACACAGATTTGATGATTATCTTCAGGTGTTGTGCAGAGAGAGTGTGTGTGGACGCTGTTACTGGGAGATTGACTGGAGTGGAGATGCTGATGGTGTGGATATATCAGTGTCATATAAGAGCATCAGGAGGAAGGGAGGAGATCTTCAGTGTGTGTTTGGATTTAATGCTCAGTCCTGGAGTTTGTTCTGCTCTTCCTCCAGTTTCATATTCTGGCACAATTACACACACACTGATCTCCCAGTGAAGGCGCTCAGCAGGAGAATAGGAGTGTTTGTGGATCACAGTGCAGGAACTCTGATCTTCTACAACATCTATAGAGACACAATGAGCCTCATCCACTCAGTCCAGACCACATTCACTGAGCCGCTCTGTGCTGGGTTTAGGATTTATTATCCTGGATCATCAGTGAAACTGAGCTGAAGACTGACGAGAGATTTACCCAGAATCCTCTGCAGGAGCAGACAGCAGCAGTGTGTGTGTGTGTGTGTGTGTGTGTGTGTGTGTGTGTGTGTGTTTGTGTGTGTTTGTGTGTGTTTGTGTGTGTGTGTTTGAGAAAGAGTGTGTGTGTGTGTGTGTGCTCGTACGCATGTGTTCACTACTGTGTGTGTGTGTGTGTGTGTGTGGGAGAAAGAGAGAGGGTTTGTGTGTGTGTGTGTGTGTGTGTGTGTGTGTGTGAGAGAGAGAGAGAGAGAGAGAGTGTGCATGTGTGTGAGAGAAAGAGGGTTTGTGTGTGTGTGTTTGTGAGTGAGTGCGTGCGTGCATGCGTGCGTGTGTGTGTAAGAGAGAGAGAGAGAGAGAGTGTGCTTGTGTGTGTGTGTGTGTGTGTGTGTGTGTGTGAGAGAGAGAGAGTGTGTGCGTAGGAGAGTGTGTGTGTAAGAGAAAGAGTGTGTGTGTGTGCGCAGGTTTACTATTGTTTGTGCATGTGTGTGCGTGTTCACTGCTGTGTGTGTGTGTCTGTGTGTCTGTGTGTGTGTGTGTCACCATTCACACTCAACAACAGTCACTGCATTTGTCAAGTTACAGTCATTAAATCCTCAACACTTCTAGATGTTCTCCTGTGTTTAATAATAGATGCAGTGTTTTGTTCATGTCTTTGTTGATTTCATTTCTCCTAGAAACACAGATTGCTCATTTTGCTCGGTCAATAAGAACTGAATTAGTGGACATTTGTATTTCTGCATTTGCTTTACTGAAAACCTCAAATAAAAACCTGTTTTGAACAGAAATGAGGCATTGGTGAAAATAAAACAGTCAGGATATGAAACAGTGGAGAAAGTCTCGTACACTCTGTAAAACAATGAACAATAGTTTCTCTCTCTGGACAAAATGGACACGTCTCACTGATATTAGGGCTCATTTGTGTTCACAGCTACAGCAGCATGTAATATTCTCCACTGCAAGTGTCCTCCTCTTCTCATCAATGCTGCTTTATAGATCATTCTCCATTCTGCTTTCATGACTTCTTCTACTGCCAGTGTGTTTCTCCATACCGTGTCAGTTCTGTCTTTTAAAATGTGCTCGTTATTTATTTCCACAATATCTCTGTCAAATATTTCACCTTCGGCTGAACTAACATCAGCACTTTCATTAAAACACAGCGATGGACTATTATCCCCAACATCTCCAACAACAGCTTCAATTCTGATATCAGGGAAAACTCCTCGTCATCTGGGATAAAAAGATCCCGACTAGAACTCTCCAGCAGTGTTTTTCATTCAACATCACACTCAGTTTATCTCAGAGTTCCTGTGCAAACCTTACTGATCCTATTCCCATACATTTAGCAAGATTCACTCAGTCCAGTGTCTGCTTCGTCAACAATGTCTCTCAATCGTGGCATTGTTTTGGATACTGATATGTCCATCAATCCTGGAGTGTCATCTCCTGACAAAAAACACCGGCTCTTCAAGACTCTTGGGCCCAAACAATAGTCTCTGGATGACCTGCAGTCTATACGCTGCTCCTCTACTCACAAGATCAACCAAGCCTTGACCTCCTTCATCTCTTGGTGAGAAGAGAACACTTTGAGGGATCCAGTGTAGGTTGTCCCAGAACAAATTGACCATCTCTCTTTGAAGATTCGGTAGTAAACCAATAGGGGGGCCTCCACACGCCAGCTTGTGCCATATAGAGGATCCAGCAAGCTGTTAACTATAAGTGTGCGGCCTCTATACGATAACTGGGGAAGTAACCATTTCCATTGTTGTAGAAGTCCTTTCTCAAGCGTACCATTCCAGTTCTTCTGAACACAGTCATCTTCACCCGAGGTATTTCAAGCCACCTTTCTTCCATGTCAAACCTCCAGGTAACTTGGGTGGGACACCGCTCCAGCTGCCCACAAGCAGGGCTTCACTCTTTCCCCAGTTGACTTTAGCAGAGGAGATCTTCTGAAAATCACTTACAATAAAATCCAGTTTCTGAATATCTTCCGCATTCGAGATGAAACAACAACATCATCAGCACAAGCAGAAAGATGCAGAGAAACGTCACAATGAGGAACACACACACCCTTTATCTCAGAGCTTAGTTTATTCAGCACAGGTTGGATAGGCAGTGTGTACAACATCCCCGACACAGCACATCCCTGTCTAACTCCTCTCTGTACTGTAAAAGCAGCGCTCAGACCACCGTCGACTTTTAATACACTTTGAATGTCTCTGTACAAAACATTGATCATATTTACAGAAGCTGCGCTCAAACCAAACATTTCTAAAAGCTTTATTAAATATTCATGTTGTATACGGTCAAGCGCTTTCTCTTGCTCTAAAGAGATCAGTCCACAATTAATACCCAATTACTTCTAAAACATCTCTAACCAAATAAACATTGTCAAAACTGATCTATTCAGTGTGCAATACTGTTGATCTTGGTGTATTACTTGACCTATTACCTTACTCAATCGTGTAGCTGATGCCTTTGACAGTATTTTATAATGGGTGCAGTAAAGTGATGCTGGTCTCCAGTTGCTTCTTCTTTGCAAGTCTCCTTTATTGGTAACACAGTAATTACAGCTCTTCTGCAGCTTAACGGGAGTAAACCTTTATTCAAACTGTCATCAAGAACCAAAAGAACATCATCACCTATCACAGACCACAAAGATTTACAGAAATCTACTGGGATTCATCAATAGCTGGAGTCTTTCCACTTCCCATCCTCATTACCGCTGTGTATAATTCACTCTGTGACAATGAGAGCTCAAGCATGGCATTAGAGTCTTCATCAGTGTTTGGGAGATCTTTAACTTCTATATGATCTGTATAATTGTGAATAAAAGTGAACAGCATGTTTACGTATGTCACTGGATTATAAAGTTCCTCTCCTGCATTATTGTTTAGTGGATGAATAATTCCACTTTGGCCATTTTTCTGTTCGAGACTAATAAAGCTTAGAAGGAGCCTCCATTTGTGTGATGTTTATTAAACCTGAATGAATGAATGCTCCTTGTGCTTTCACTCCTCAAAGATCAGCCAGCAAATCTGTGTTTGATTTCCGGGTTTCAGATTGATCTCTGCTTGTAGCTGCTGTTGTGTTAAACAGGTCTGTTAGTTCATCCTCTAGTTTCTTCATGGATTCAGGAACTCCTTTAGTGACATTAAAAGTGTTTTCTTGGCATAATTGTTTAATGTGAATCTTGCCACAATCCCACCATTGCTGCAGTGAAGAATAAAGATGTTTTTCTTCTTTAAAATTCCCAAAAATAAAGAAAAGATTTTAATAAATGTCTCATCTTTTAAAAGGGACGTATGAAAATGCCAATAGGCACTCCTAATCTCCACAGAATGAACAATTATAGTACAAATAACAGAAGAGTGATCTGAAAACCCAACAGGAATTATTGTACAATCTTTGACACAATCTGCTTGAAAATGAAACATGTAAAATCTATCAAGCCTTGCCATTGAAATAAAATGATTCTTACTATGTGCCCAAGTGTGCTGTCTATTTTCATGATGATCATTCCTCCACACATCGCATAAATCAAACACTCTTACTCATTGTGGAAGCACTTTTAGTGAAGCAGGATGTGTTTCTGAGTGATTTGGATCTCTCTTCTCATTCTCTGTGCTGTTCAAATGAAAAACTCTTCTGATTTGATATCTTTAAGGACAGCACTAAAAGCATTGGAGAAATCTATTCTTTCATCTGCTTTTGTAGGAGCGTAAATATTTATAAAGTCATTAAAATATTCTCAAGTTTTGCTTTAATTTGTAATAAACGTCCTTTGACTATTTCTTTCTCTCCACATAGAATTGGTGAAAACTGCTGTGAAAGCAATAGAGCTCCTCCTCCACTATTAGAGGACATGTGACTCATGAACACTTGAGCATCTCATTCTGTTCTCCAGTCTATTTCATTAAATAAAGCACTCTGAGACTCTTGAATGAAGGTCACATCAATACGTTTCATCTTTATAAACTCAGACAGACACATTCTCTTCTGACTGTTTCTAGCAGCATTCAAGTGTAGAGCTCCAATCTTAATGTCTCTCATAAATGATAGAAACAGTCAAAAACAGAAGAAGCTATCACACCATGTCCTGTTCTTCATCTTCACGCATTTGTTTTCTCATTTTTATCATGGATTTTCTAAGACGGTACACGTCCTGATCACAGAAAGCTCCTTCCTTCATGCACCTCTTTACATCTCTTATAAGAGCAGATGGATCTGGACAATAGTCTTCAGCTTCAGTCTCTTTGTTTCTCTTGAAAGCTGAGTTAGTTGTTCAGTGTTGTACACCACTGGCTGCTCTTCATCCTCATTTAGTGATGAAGAAAAGAGCAGCCTGAATCATTGGAGTCTGAAGAATCGCTGTCAATGTCTGAAACTGCAATTTTAGTCTCGCTCTTGTCTTCTTTGGTCTGTGTTATTGTCGTCTTACCTCTGCCTTTTCTCCTCTTTATTGCAGCTTTGAAAAATGCCTCAGTTTGCATTTCTGCTTCATTTCCAGCCTCGTTGCTTTTTCCAGTGACTGCTATATTTACTGTCAATACTGGCGTAACAATGTGACCATTCATGCCATCTATCTCAGAGTTAACTGAAGCAGGTACAACAGAAGCGCCTGCAACAATTTCAGCCAGAGTCAATGTATTTGATTCAGACTCTACTGCCACCTCAGAGACTGGAGCATCAGCAGAAGATGCCACAGTCTCTGCAGCAGTGCAGCATCTACCTGCTTTCAATCTGAGTGTTTTCCTAAGGCACTGAACACGACTCTTCCAAACACCGAACATGCGCTCGACTAAAGCCCTTGTGCGCATATGAGCCTGGCTGTAGCTGAAATCCTTCTGAGCATGCCCACTGTCACCAAGCAAAACTCCATTATGATCTCTTCTGTCAAACTGAGTATACAGAGATGAGCTGAGGAGGATCATGAGTTGCACATTTCCACCATGCAGCAATGTTTGAGAACTCTAACTGGG